TGGTTCGCAGTAAGAGGAGGAAATGAACGCTGAGGATGGCGAGCCCACTTATGCCTCACCTACGGCTTTGTCAAGAGAACTTATTCTTGGGTAAAGTGCACAAAATAAACAATTCTTTCCTAGCAAGAAATCTGTGAGAGCTGCAGAAACGTACACAGAATAAAACCCCTGGTTGCAAACAGGACGGGAACTGGTTTTTCTCAAGCTGAGATTTGCAAATGCCCTCAGCGGATGGTAGAGTCACGGCTTAGCCTGTGAACATTTGTGGCTCCACACACAACTGGTATATGATAGCACTGCTGCAGGATATTGGTTTGATTATAGGGATCAGGGCCACATTGTACGAGGTGATGCACAAGCACAGAGACACATGTTCCCTACAGAGGGTGGGGAGATGGCTAGCCTAAGGTTACAGTGAGTTGGCAGTAGGGCTATAGAGAACCCAGGTGTCCTGATTCACAATACCTTATTCACTAGGCCAAGCTGCTTGTACATCCCTGATGATACGTTTCTCACTCATCCTGATGGGCATGCTACTACATAGGCTCCAATCATACGAAGAACAATGAGAGTGTCAGTAGTCTCACTGCAGGTCCCCTGGGACAAGGTTTACATCCCATGAGGGTGAAGTTTAATCAGGTTCTAGGTAGCAGTTAGGAAGGTAAGGAGGATTTGCATCTTGCCAGGACAACTCAGCAATGGCCCTGCTGGCAAATCATAACAGAGGTGCAGGAAACATCGGGGGGTGGGGTACAGCCAACTTCAGTGAGAGGGTACAGCACATCCCATGGGATTGGCACAGGTGCTGTGAAGGGAAGTTGGTGGCATTTTCTGTTCAGAGCTCAGGGGACACTGGGGATTTTCCCAGGAGAGAGATTCCAGTTCTGATCTTCATTCTGCAGCTGCAGTGGCGAGTGAGTCAGCTGTTTCCATGCCAGCTCCACCATGGAGGAGACCTCACGCCAACAACTCTTCTTGCCTCTGCAGAGTCTGGTTCAACAGAGAACTGTATGTGTGAGATGACTCTTGGGTGGGTCATCTGCTAGAACGGGTTGCAGGGTCTTTGGAGATAAGAGCATCAATTTATACTGCCCAAGATAGAGGTCAAAGTGCATTAGCTGACTCAAACTTCTACACAAAGATGAGCAAGACAAAGGGCCACACTGAGACCTGAGTGACCTGCCCAACCCAGCCGTAAATACATCATGTAGATGTATGTAGCACATCTCCCAAGAAAGGTTAGAAAAATCCCCTTGGTTGCTATTGAGACCAATAGCAAGTCCAAGATCTTTTGTTAAAACTCAAACATAATGACATGCATTTTCTGCTACATTATGTATGTCAGATCTCTCCACACTGTACAAAAACCTCCAGAGAAGCTGTACAAAAAGCTCCAGAGAAGCTGTTTTTGGTAAACAAGAGAGGCAACACTGGAACTGAAGCTGCGTTCTTTACTCCACTACCCGTTTGCCTTGGCTATCTAGATGAGATAATCTTGTAGTTGGGTGGCTGCATAAGGCACCAGCTTAGTGAAGTCTGACCTCTTTCATTTGGATGCATAATACCAGCCAGAGAATAGCAGGGAGCTAAGGCAGCAAAACTGCTGCATCTATGCACTTTCCAAGCCAACTCTACCATATAGGTCGTTCTAGCAGGGGTGGCTAAACTGCAGCTTGTGAGCTCTGGGGCAGCTTATATGTAGCCTCTGCAGAAAGAGAAGAGGTGTGGACTGTGTGCAGATCACTTACCCTGGGGCCATGAGCATCTCACAAGGTGAGAGACCTGTGGCTCTTGGCCATGTGGAGATTTTTGATGCATGGCTGGAAAGATGAGGAATTTGGCCACTTTGGTCTATAGCCATCTAGATCACATAGAGTCAGGGCAACAGACGACTCAGCATTCATGATCACATGCAGAATAACTGCAAATGATCTGTAGGACTGTGAGTTGGGTGAGTCAGTATTTTTAGGCATCTTTCCTGCTCGGTGCAGTGGCCCATGGGCAGAGCATCAGCTGGAGCTCCCAGCCCAGAGGTGTGAAAGCAAGTGGAACAATCTAAAGGAAAACAAGGGACAGCACCATGGACTCTTTCCTTGATCCACTATCCACAGCATGAGTAAGAAAAACAGTGGGTCATTTCAGTAAGTAGAAACCAAAGCCTCCCCTTTGATTGTATTTGATTCTGGTGATCTGACAACCTCAGCAGGGCTGCCATGTAGATTTGGACAGAGCTGGAGTGAGAACAGTCCTTTGCAATGAGTGCTGCTGACCTGCAAAACGAGCAGGTGAACTGTTAGAATGGTGACTGGGGGCAGGGTTTTGAAGGAGCTCATGCCACAGCAGACAGTGGGTGTTGGTGGAAAGGGGCAGCACTGGGTCACAGCAGTTGCTTTTCACAGGGAGCATAGGGAATGCTTTCTCTCACACCTTCTGGGGAGGCGCTGCTCTCAACAAGACCTTATTACCTAGGAAAGCAGGAAGCATCCACACAGCACTCTCAGTGCAAGGCAGCCCATGGCACCTGACTTTGAGAGCCACCCATTTCATGGGGCACAGGAAGCAGTGACCCTCTTCTGGCCACTTTGCTCCTCCTGACTTTTCTGGGTAATGCAGACCTACTTGAGGAAGGGACAGATCACAGGCTTAGCTGGGAAAAGTCATCTCTACATCTCCTCTTTCTGTATCCCTCACAATACCGTGTTCTGTTCCAGGCAGAAAGCAGCCAAAGGAACAGACTGGAACCCCGCATTTGCAAAGGGTTGCTGACCCCTGAGTGCTGGGATGCTGGCTAGGATGGACATGGCCAGGCACTGCCCTGAGGGGAGTAGATAACTGTCTGGGGGCTTTGCTTCCAAGTAAGTAGGAACCACATGGTACCTAGGCCTCTGTGCCACCTTCCTGGGAAGGAATGTGGCTATGGCTTAATGGCACCTGATAACCATGTTGGTGAGGGAGAGTTATATCACTCAGGCACAGGTCAGCTCTGTTTGTGTCACCCAGTCCAAGGCCTGCTTTCCCCCATGCTCCCTCCATATCACCGCCTCCTCATGGACCTTTTGTGTAACATGCCTGGGAACCAAGTGAGGAAACCTGGGATGTGGAGACAGCCATAGACAGATGGGGGATGTTAAGGGAGACTGGGGGAGAGAGGTTTGCTTGGGGGCTCTTGACAGCCTGAGACAAGGGTTAACCCAGTGACTATGCCCTGGAGGGCTCCCCACAGCAGTGCAGCAAATCAGGACGTAGCAATGCCTTAGTATAGAGGCTTGGCTCCCTGGCAAGACAGAGACACCAGCCTGGGCTACGAGGAAGCCAAAAATGGCTTTGATGAGGCACTGGTCCAAGCGGGACTCCCACAGAACTTGCTACTTTGGTCTGCTAAGCAGCAGAAGCTCCATTTCTGGGGGAGCATTTCAAGTCCCAGTGCCTCAGGATATGGACAGGTGACTCCTTTACTTTGCAGTAATTTACCCACAGTTTTTTTCCACAGTGAATTTAGCCTGTGGTAAGAAGCAGACCCACCGTCAGCTCCCACAGGCTGGCAGCCTGAAGCAGGTGCTAAGACTGCACCTGGCCACTAGATTGTGAAGGAGCTGGTTTGCATTGAACAAACTGCTACTGAGCCAAAAGCTGCTGTCAATTCAGCAGCAGTTGTGGGAGGGTTCAAACTTGAGCTATGGCACTCGCAAAGACAGAATGAAAAGTAGACTCTGTTGCTCCATGTGGCCAGAACTCAACCATGACTGGGAAAATCTTTGTTTCTTCATTCTGGCTTCCCAAAACAAGGAGGGTGTCTTATTTAGGGGCATACTGTATGTGGTAAAATACCATCTTTACTTCTGATTTCCTCTGAAGTCACTTTACACCAGACAGTTGCCTTTCCTCCAGAGCACGTGTTGTGTGTCATGCGTCTATTCCACTTCTCTAGAATGAATGGAGGATACACTGGATTTGGCAACAAAGTGCCAATTGAGCTATGGACATTTATAGTAGTTGAGGATTTGCCCCTCTATTCCACACTAAAAGTACTGAAGAAGACAAAATTCTTCTAAGTGCAAATTTCATTGTGACTTTAACTATGGAATCACTACTGGTGCCTCCATAATTACACATGTGATTAATAATGACACCTGTGTCTACCACATGTGGTTGTAAAATATATCTATTGATTTATACAATATAAACATTTCATTCATGGATGAGGCTTGAAAACAGCTGAAATAATGCAGTTATGCAGACATGGTAAGGTGCCTTAGGGTCATAGGCGTGCCAATATGGAACAAAGGATCGATGCAGTCTGGAAGATGTTGCTAGCACTTTTGGAGAAGACAGACATATAGGATCAAACTTCCAGTTATGAGTATCTAGCTTCAGCTGGAGAGGTATGATGTGCATCATACCTCTTCAACTGGAGCCAGATACTCATCAGAACCTCTTTGTATGTGTCTGTCTGTCAGTGCTCTGGGGCAAAGAGACAAGAGGGTATGTTCTCTGAACTATTTTAAATGCAGGGCTGGATTGTTCCTGAAGGCCCTCAGACCATCTCCCCTGTAGCAAGGGTCTGTGAAGTTTGAAACAACTGGAGGCACGGTGGTTCATGCATTATGGACCCCCAGATGGCAGCCCTCTGACTTGAGCTGAAGTTGTGTTCATCTGCCCCTGCTAGCTCTGCAGTTTGAAAACCCAAGTCACAAGCAACTTTCTGGAACAGATTCCTCTTGCATGGCAGGACTCGCAGAACTGTCATCAGTGGAGACACAGCTTTGTCTGAAGGTTTAGGAGCATTGGACACTTCACACCTGGAGACCTACACGTGAAGATCAGATCCCAGCTCCTCAGAAGGGCACTCTCCTTGCAACACACCCCTAGCAGCAAGCCGGGGAGATTCCAGAATGCCTCTGCTCTTTTCACTTCCAGGGGAAACAGTGGTTGTTGAGCCCTGGAAGCTGGCAATGCCCAGCAGGAAGGGT